ATTAAAGACATAATGATATGATTATGTGAAAGAGAATTAAAAATTGTAAGATATTATTGGCGGGCGTTAGAATAAAGAATATGCAATTGTGAGGAGTACATATGCAACCAAATAATCAGATCCAGTTGCAAAGCGAGGATATAGACTTGAGCGTCTTCCTAGGCAATGTTTCACTTGCGATCCTATATAAGGATTACAGTGCTTGTCACAATTTTAGGGTTATTGGGTTAAAGGTTGTTTGAAGAAAAGTTGCTTATTAATATGATTGGAAGGGGTGGTAGAGCCATGCAATAAGTAGAGTTGTAGCGACAGTAGGTGATCTGACTTGACTCGAAATCAAAGGTTGATTGTGGTCCGCTAGAGCTGGAAAAAAAAGTTGAAAGTTGAAAAACTGAACGCTTTGTGAATGCGTTGGTGATTGTGCTCTGCGGATGATTGAAATAAACTCTTGAAGCGTGTTCAGACCAGAAGTTGGGATTTTTAAATCTGGGGAACCGTGTTCAAAGAGTTTGTTGAAATTACGAAATAAAAAAAATTGTCAAGCAGTGCTGTCGTTTTTCTACAACGAAGTGAAGCAATGCCTGAAATGATAGTGATGAAAAGTATACTGAAGGGGTTAGAGAAATAGATTGTTGAAAACGATTGTTGTAGATGCCCGATAGTTGATGATAAACATTGTAATATAATAAATCTATTTGAACAAATATAAAATATTGAATAAAAAGATTGAAATATGATTGCGGATAAAAAAAAAGTGTAAGTGGACAAAATCAAACATGTATTATATAAAATATATAATAATTAAGAAAATAAATGTTTTGCAATACTAAAATAATATCATGAAAAATAAAAGTAAATTTGATTGAAGTTTTTTTTAATAATGTTGGAATAAAAATTGATTATATGGTTGAAAAGTAAAAATAAAAAAATAATATTCAAGATTTTATACAAATTAGAATATAAATAAAAATTATTTTAATGATTAGATAAATGTTAAGTAGTGGAAAATTGAACAATATTCTCGTTTATCCAAAAGGTGATATGTAGATAATTATATATATTTTCCGTTATAAAGTATATATCAGACTTAACCAAGTTGTTTTAATTGGTGATATCAATTAACATGTGAAATGTTTACTGTATGTTGTGTTGTGATTAAGGCGTTGTTGAGATTTGTGAAAAAACCTGAATGGTTAGTGTGAAACATGTGTTTAAAAATGGCGATCATGAAGATAGCGGTCAAGATGATAGCTTTGTGAGGGAGGACGTTGGACGGGGGTATGAAACTGAAATAGATTCGGGGATCCTATTACTGGGGGGTCACTCGTGCGGGGTGTTTGTTATTTTTGTCATTTACTTGAAATTAACTTTCTTCTTTGTTGAGGTTGGCATATTACTGTTATTTTTGAAAGATATGATTTTCTCGGTGTTCGTAGTTTTTGTGTTTCAAAGTTATTTTAGACTTTGTAAAAATGTTCTTCAGTGATGTCAGGTATATATGTGAGTGAAAGTTCGACTTTCGACGTGGACACACTTTGGGGTGAGATGTGTCACAGGCAGGAAGGCGTCTTTGGCCTGAAAAGTGAGAAAGAATTGTGGTGTGGCGCTGTGACACGAAGTGAAAAATTGTGAATGAAAAGGTGTCACGTGAAGTCGTTGTTTGGTACAGAATCTAACCTGTTTCACCATGAATAACAAATTTAATAGTCATGGTTGGTGGTTGTACGAACACATATCGAGAATATTTTTGTTGTTAGTGGATATGGCACGTTTAATGTGAATTTTTTTGTGTTTAGTGGGGCGACGTTATGGAGCTCGTGTGGCTCATAAATGTATTTGTTTGTGAAGTCGCGCACTAATAATTGCTGCCAATTGGAGAAAGTGATGTGAGGGTGTTGTAGATTTTGTGTAGAGAGATGTATAGTTGATTAATTATGCCTTTAAAATGAAGAGACGAGAGAGTGTATCTATGTTAGAATAAAACGTTGTTTTGGGGAAGGACAGTTATATTTCTAGTTGTGATTTTGAAGAGATTGTATCTTTCGATTTTTTTCAATTTGAAAAAATGCGTTTCACCTTGGTTAATTTATATTTAAAAATTGAATATATTTTTAAATCGTTGATTATGGTAGTTAAAATGATTCTTGTAAAAGGACAATGTCGTGAAAGTGACAAATAATTTAATTGGGCGCTTACTCAAAATGGTGAACATGACAATGAATTTTGCAAAATTTTAAGAATTGATAAAGATATTGGTCTTTTGGTATGAAGATAACTAATAAGAAAAACAAAAATAATTTCAGAATTATGTTGAATGAGAGATTTTTAAAAATAATAATAATGATTTTTTTTAAGTTGTAGATTTGGATAATGCCATTTTAGGTAAATTTAGGAACGACATGTAGGATTGGTAAATTTGTAAAAAATGTACGATTGGCGATTTTTTTAAAAGTAAATTTGAGAGTGTGAAAGTTTAAAAAATGATATAAAAGGTAAAAATAGATTTTAAAATGCTTAAAGTGAAAATATAAATACAAAATTTATGGGTAATCAAGTTGTGAACTTGAGGATAAAGTTAAGGTAGGTTTTAAAAACTGCAATTGTGTTATGATTGTTCAGTCAGGAGACTTGGTCTTTGGTGGTCGTCCTGCTGTCGTGGAAGTCGCTCCATGTAGAGCTTGTAGAAGCTTGTAACTTCTGTAAAGTTGTTTGCGGATTTTCACCTTGAACATTGTCCCGATGTCAGGCTGAAGGTGTGGAACTTCTCAAAGTGTTTGCTCCACTCTGATCTTCGATTTCCATCATTTGCGGGAATTTCGACTGTGTCGTTGGGGTGGTCAGACAGCTTGCTCCCGGCGTTGGCGATCTGTAGCGGGTTTGCGGAGGTCCCTTGGGGCGTCGCGTCTTCCGTAAATATCTCTTTTTGGGGAAGAGATTGCTTGGTCTTTTCGTTGGAATGGCGGGCTTGTTCCTCCATCTTCGTTCTTTCTCGCTTCTATCTGAACAGGTTTCTTACCTCTTCGTTGTGTCATTCTTCGTTTTGGTAATCCTGTCGACTATAAATGTGATGAGGTTCTGATGACTCTTGTAGAATCCTGTCGACTCTCGCTAAACTGTGGTACTCGAGGGTCTCTCGCTGTGGTATGTTAACCGAAAGAGGCGAACCTGTAGTAACCGAGAGGGACAGTCAGGGCGTGGAGAGTTTTCCAGTACCTCTCTGCACCTTGGGAGACCTTTAACAGTTCTCACAGAGTACAGGCAGTCGTGGTAGAGGCAGAGTGGAAAGCATGGGAATGTCCATACACAAAAAAAAACGAAGACACAGTTGCACTAAGAAAGTTCCGTGAACAGATAAAAGTTGAGCTAGGAGCGAAAGATGGAGATAAAATAGTTCTTACTGGTATACATGGTGGATAAGAAGACCCTTGGTGACAACCGACGAGGGCTCGCGCTGATGGTGAAGTGACTATCAAGTGACCATATTTTTGGCTAGGACAGAGGCCTTTTATATCTTTTCTGGGAAAGGGAGTATTGCATTTCAGCAGATGTGAAGAGTCTGGATCGTCTGGCGAAATTCTAAACTGGCGCCGTGGCAGTTTCCATCTTTAGACCTTGTTGTTTTGGTACTGCTATATGCTCGATTTTAGACGTTTTTGACCTCTCTCTTTTGCTTTATTTCAACTCTTATTCTATTAGAGAGTTTTATTTATTTATCCTCAGTTTGTACAAAGAACATTACATATGATGATGTAATGACACATGTCAATCATGCGTATAATTATTTACAGATGTGTTTCTATTATACAACATATGAAAATCTTGTTATAAGTTATATTATATGGGGTTGTTGGTTTAAATTACCATATATATATAGAAATTTTTCTAAAATAAATGATCATTTTATTTTTAATAAATAAGAAATCACAGATTAGAGAAATTTAAAATTCAGAATCGTCATTTAAAAAAAAATCAAATTTTCGCTCCTAGCTCGACTTCATCTGGACAGGCTTCTTACCTCCTTCGTTGTGGTCATCCTTCGTTTTGGTCATCCTGTCGACTCTCGCTATACTGTGGTAACCGAGGGTCTTCGCTGTGGTGTGGTAACCGAGAGGTACAGTCAGGGCGTGGATAGTTTTCCAGTACCTCTCTGCACCTTGGAAGACCTTTAACAGTCTCACAGAGTACAGGCAGTCGTGGTCGAGGCAGAGTGGAAAGCTTGGGATTGTCTACTCAAAAACCAAGAGACACAGTTGTATTAGGAAAGTTCCTTGAACAGATAGGAGTCGAGCTAGGAGCGAAAGATGGAGAGATAAGACGTTTTCTTACTAATCTACGGCATGGTCGAAAATCAGAAGATGAAGTGACGACGGCTTCCGCAGATGGTGAAGTGACTATATTTTCGGCTATGGCGAAGATCTTATATATAAATGCCGAGAGAGGAAGTATTGAATTTCAGCGGATGCAACTAGAGCGTGGATCGGAAGCGATATTTTACTCTGACAACGCCCTAGCAGTTTCCTATCTTTAGATCTTGTTGTGGAACTGCTACATCTCGATCTCTGCTTTAGCTCAACTTTTAATCTATTACAGAGTTGTATTTATTTATAATCAGTTTGTACAAAGTACATTACATATGGTTAGGTAATGACACATGTCAATCATGCGTATAATTATTTATAGATGTATTTCTATTATACAACATGAAAATATTTTTATAAGTATCATACAATAATGGATTGTTGGTTTAAATTACCATATATATATATATATTTTTTTAAAAGGCATATATTGCATCTAAATATCATTTATTTTACCAACATTTCAGTTGGCAACCTTTATCAACGTGTTATAACATTTTAAAGTGTAAGTATACCGCGAATGTTTCTTTTAAACAAAAATCAAAATTTATTTTAAAGAGAAATAGCGACTATTTCTAACTTTAAGGATGAAGTATGATAGGATGAATTGTGAAGAGTAATGACAAACGGAAAAATAAAAGTGTCCAGGGATGGGAAACGAACCCATTGTGTTCCGCTTACTGGGCAGATGCCATGTCCACTAGGCTACCCTGGACATATTTTTCCGTTCGTGAATATTATATAAAGTAATTTAAAATACAATAAAACGCGGCTGATGATTGTAAAACGAAAATTGCAATTATACCGTGAATGTTTCTTTCAAACAAAAATCGAAATTTATTTTAAAGAGAAATAGCGACTATTTCTAACTTTAAGGATGAAGTATGATTTACAATCATCAGCCGCGTTATATTGTATTTTAAATTTTAAAGTGTGTCAACAACAAACTCAGCGCCACATAACGTTTGTAAATTAAAAAAAATATATATTTTGTCCATAATATGAATATATATAGGAATTTAATATTTTGTTGTTGTTGTTGTTAGATAAGGCTTGATAAAACAAAGGATCGATAAGATAAAGGGTTGAGGTGCAGTCGTGATAAAAAAAAAATAATTATTTACCGTCAAGTAGCTTTTATTTTCAATTACTTGAGGAAATATTACACATTAGTTATTTTCACATTATATAGAATTTATAAAGTTAATCCTATATTAGTGATTTAAATGGATAGATATATTGTCTACGCATATTTACAACAAAACTGAGAGTCTTTCTAAAAACGATGATAACAGAAGTAAAATTATCAATGAATAAAATAAAATATATATATATATTTTTAAATATAGAAATATTTGAGTTTTTAGATTATATAATATTTCCCCTCTGTGAAAATATTAAAAAAAAATTAAAATAAAATTGGTAATTAAAATAATTAATTAAACGAAATCAATAAATCTATAGAAATAATTAAAAATGAAACAATAAATATCAATATTCACATTTTTTTCAAAATAAACAAAAGAAAGTTTGTTTACAAATAATCTATATAATTATGAAATTATAATAAAAGTTTATATAAGAAGTATTAATAGGCGATTCTTCGGAAATATGGATATGAAGCAAAAAAGGTATTTAAAATTGATTAATTATGTCATGCTAGTTACATTTCAAAATATCAAAAAGCATAAAAAATCTTATTTTTACCAAAATATAATTAAAAAATAAAGTGTTTCTGATATTTTAACATTAAAATGTTTGTGATATAATATAGAAATAAATAATAATGGTTGAGTAATGAAATGCTAAAAGAGGAGTGTGGAGTGACATTAAGTTATTTGTGAAGGCTTATGAATTGGTGCTGATATTTATTCTTCATTGTCCATGTCCAAAATATGGCCTTCCTGTAAAAAACATGGTTTATCATCAATTGTGTCAGAATTTTGGTTTACTATTAAGTCATTTTCTATGTTAGTGCTATAGTGAATTAAAAATCTGCTTCTGGGTAAAATAAGTTAAGCTTATTAGAGTGTATAATTTCTGTTTATTTTCTTTGGGGTAAATTGGGTTTATTAATTTCATATGTGACTGGAGAAAGTTGTTTTAAAATAGTAAATGGGGGCCAATAAGTCTTTGAGTTTATTTACCAGTGTTTGGATAAATAAAGGTTTTTTATAATACCTGATCTTCTTTAAAAATGGGTTCTGGGTGTTTAATATCATAAAGTTGTTTGCTGTGTTCATGGGGTTTTATGGTTCTTTCAATGGCTAATTTTCTTGCCTTTTCTATTGGTGTGTGTGTTTCTGTGTCATGTTCTATATACTGTGGTTGTATTCCATAGTATAAGAATTCAGGAGTAAAGCCTGTTGTGGTATGCACTGTTTCATTATAGCTTTCGGCAATATTAGGAATATATTTTGTCCAATGAATCTTTAAATTAGCATTATATTCACATCTTGACCTATTAATGATAGTGGAATTGAGTTTTTCTACTTTTGCATTTGTTTCTGGATGATGGGCACTGGTGAGTAGATGCTTAACATTATTTCTTTCTCAAAAGTGTTTAGATTTATTGCTGAGAAAAGCTGCATTTCTGTCAGTTATTGATATTTCAGGTTTATTAATTTGGAATAAATTCTCAAACAAGGTATATAAGAATCAGTTGATACAGATTTAGTTGGAAATGCCCAAAGGAATCTACTATGGTGATCTACTATCATATGGATACTGTGTCTTGTTTTCCCATAATTAGGTAACCCGCCCAATGTATCTAAAAAAATGTGATTAGGATGTGTAGCTATTGGCATCTGTTGTAGTGGTCATTAACAATTCTGTTATCTTTATATTTATTAAACTGGCAAGTTTCACAATGTTCGGTGTAATTAGCAATATCCCTAGTCATATGTGGCCAATAATAGTGTGGAGAAATTATTTTAGTCATTTGAGTTGTTCCAATATGTCCATGCTTTGTATGTACCTTGTTTAATAATCTGTGTCTTAGTGTTTGTGGTACATAAGCTCTTTTAAAACCCTTTCTATTAATGATAAAGAGATCACTTTGTATTTTAAGTTTACTATTGCTAATTTGTTCTGTGGATTGATGTTCTTTCAACTCATTATATGTTAGGTCAAATGAGACAGGTGCTCTTGACAGCACACACATGTCTGCTTCTATATTATTTATCCATTAATATGTTTAATGTCAAAGCATTATTGAGATAGAATTAAGGACCATCTAAATAATCTATCTTGTTGGTTTTTTACATTTTTGATCCATTTTAAAGGTAAGTGATCTGTGTGCAAGGTAAAGTGTATGTTGTGTAGGTAGGTATGAAACCTTTGTACTGAATTAATGATAGCTAATGTTTCAATTTCTGAGGTAGTATAATTCTTTTCATATGGGTGAAGTTTTCTTGGATAATAACCTATGGGTGTGAAATGCCTTGTTCATCTGTTTGTTTAAGAACTCCTGCTACTCCTAGACTTGACGCGTCTGTGAATAAATGACATGGTTTTGATAGGTCATAAAAATATAGTACAGGTTGTGATATAAGTGAATTTTTAAGTGTTTGGAATGCTTGTTCTTGTTTCACACTCCATAGCTAAGGAGCATTTAAAAAAAAAAGGTTCATTCAAAGGTGACCTAATTTGCCCATAATGGGAAATACATTTATTATAAATATTTATGGTGCCTAAAAATCTTTGTAAGGTCTTAATATTATATGGTCTATTTAATTTTAAATTTGCCTTAATATTTGTGTTATTTGGTGTATATTTTCCTGAGTTAATAGTGTATCCTAAGAATTGTATTTATTTTTGTAAGAATTTGCATTTATTGAGATTGAGCTTTATATCCACTTGTTCGAATATACCTAATATGTCATCTAAATGTTTAATGTGTTCTTCATAAGTTTTGGAATGTATAATAATATCATCAAAATAATTTAAGGCATAGTGTATGTTATGTGTTTAGAGAAAACTGACTTCATAATCCTTTCAAATTGTGAAGGTGCATTTTTTAGACCATATGGAATTCTGTTCTATTCATAACATCCTTATTGTGTTACAAAGGAAGTTTTATGTCTATCTTTTTCATCTTTGGCTATTTGCCAATATGCATTTTTGACATCTAGAATAATATATTTTTGACTGTGATAACCTATCTATAATTTGTTCTATAAGTGGAATTGGGGTATGTTCTGGAACTGTTTTTGAATAAGTTTTCTATAATCTATACAGAGTCTTGTTGGGTGATTTGGGGTATCAGATTTTTTATTCACTAATAATGCAGTAGAAGGGTAGGGACTAGTTGAGGGTCTAATAATATCATATTTTAATAATTCAGTTTTTTGTTTTTGTATATCAGCATTATTGTAAAAATATGTCCTATATGGCTTTTGTGCTATGGGAATATTATCTAAAAGAGATATGCAAATTGGGTTAGTCTTAATGCGTCCTATATCAAAATTGTGTTTAGAGAAAAATTCTTATATTTATGCAATATATCTGAAATTGTTTGATTTGAGAAATTTGGATTAATATCTACTTTACTAAAGTCTGAATAGGAATTATAATTTGTTATAGAGTACGGTTGTCGCATACTGTGAAATAAGTTAGAACCAATAATGAGGTTTGAAGTAGGATTTATAAGTTTAACCTTTGTAGTTGGTATATCAAAAGAATTGAAATTACACAATGGGTTAATATTTAAAAGATATGAATTTTTAACATAGTATGGGTCAGGAATACATAAGGTGGTAGCATATGACTTCTGATTATCAGTTTTTGGATTAAAATAATACAAGAATTTATAATTTTGGAAAAAAAAAGTTTTTTTTGAGAAATATATTCGTAACTTGAATAAATAAAATGTTGGTAAACCTAAAATAAGATATTCTATTGGACTCTCACAAACAAAAAAAATCATGATATCTTGTAAGTTTTCCTAAGCTAAGCCTAACTAATATTTTGTATAATGGGTAACTAAATCCTTCTACCTGACCTATTCTTTCTTTTGGGGAATTGTCTAATATTTTATAATAAATAGAGTTTAAATATTTTAAAGGGATAATAGAGATAGATGATGCAGTGCCAAGTACACAAGGTAAAGATATATGGTTTATAAATACAGAGAATAGTAATAATGATCTACCTGGGTTGATGCGCTTCGGATGAGTATTGTTCTTATGTGGGCAGTCTCTATGGAAATGGATCTGGTTGGGTAGCTGGTGTGATGCACATAACTTACAGGGGTTTGGAGGCTGGTTCATTGATTTGTGGGGTTCTTTCTAGTGGTGTATTGCTACTGCTGTCCTGGGAAAAGGCTGGTATTGATGAGCTTTGGAGAATTCGGATTTAAATATTATTACTGGAGTTCTTTTACTGGTAGATGGTTGTTGGGGTTCTTCTTCTTTATTTGTTGATAACTTTAATTGGGTTGTGATTTTAAACCAATCTGAGGGTTCTTGTATCCTTGCAGCTATTAAATATTTTTAAGGTGGTTTGGCATTCCATCTGTTAGTGCTTCTAATAAAAGTGTTTTTTCTAGGTTTAATTTTTTGGCTAAAGCAGATTTTCACTTAAAATATTATTCCAGATCATCTTTATCATTATATTTTAAATTTAAAAACCTACTGAATTAATTTGAATCCTTAATTGTGAAATACGATGTTATTTTTGTTCAATTTCTTCCCAATTATATATATTTTGTAATTC